TCAGAGAAATCCAAATGAAAACCTCAATGAGATACCACCTCCCACCAGTCAGAATGGCTAAAATTAACAAGTCAGGAAACGACAGATGTTGGCGGGGATGTGGAGAAAGGGGAACCCTCCTACACTGTTGGTGGGAATGCAAGCTGGTGCAACCACTCTGGAAAACAGTATGGAGGTTCCTGAAACAGTTGAAAATAGAGCTACCATACAATCCAACAATTGCACTACTGGGTATTTACCACAAAGATACAAATGTAGGGATCCGAAGGGGATGTGCACCCCAATGTTTATAGCAGCAATGTCCACAATAGCCAAACTGTGGAAAGAGCCAAGATGTCCATTGACAGATGAATGGATAAAGAAGAAGATATATATATATATATATACAATGGAATATTATGCAGCCATCAAAAGGAATGAGATCTTGCCATTTGCAATGATATGGATGGAACTGGAGGGTGTTATGCTGAGTGAAATAAGCCAATCAGAGAAAGACATGTATCATATGACCTCACTGATATGAGGAATTCTTAATCTCAGGAAACAAACTGAGGGTTGCTGGAGTGGGGGGGGTGGGAGGGATGGGGTAGCTGGGTGATAGACACTGGGGAGGGTATGTGCTATGGTGAGCGCTGTGAATTGTGCAAGACTGTTGAATCACAGATCTGTACCTCTGAAACAAATAATGCAATATATGTTAAGAAAAAAAAAGGAAGATAGCAGGAGGGGAAGAATGAAGGGGAGTAAATCGGAGGGGGAGATGGACCATGAGAGACGATGGACTCTGAAAAACAAACTGAGGGTTCTGGGCGGGGGATGGGTTAGCCTGGCGATGGGTATTAAAGAGGGCACGTTCTGCGTGGAGCACTGGGTGTTCTGCACAAACAATGAATCATGGAACACTACATCAAAAACTAATGATGTAATGTATGGTGATTAACATAACAATAAAAAATAAAAAAAAAAACAGTGTTGGCTGGTCCTGGAGGCGGGGGATGGCTGCGAGGATGGTTTTGAAGTTTGGGCCTGGAAGAGGTTGGAGGGTGGTCCGAGGCTGGAAGAAGGGGTAGCCTCGGATTTGTTCCCCGATCCCCCCACACTATTGTAGCAAGAGATGGACCCCCAGGAACCCCCATCGCAGGGCTACACCCAGAATAGCATTGGAGAATCTTTAGCCATTATCTCTTGAAATACTGCTTCTCCCTCTATGCCGTCTCTCCTTTCATGTTACGTTGCAGTGTACACATAAGACCTTTTCACTATGGCTTAAATGTCTCTTCTATTCTTAATGTTGAATTCTTTTTATCTCTCTGTTAATAGAGAATATTTTCTTCTTTCCTGTATCCAGTTAAGAACCTCTCTTACTATATGTCCAGTTTGCAGTTAAATCCAACTATTGAATTCTTAATTTCAGTTATTGTTATTTTTCAATTCCAGAATTTCATTTGATACTTTTAATAGATGGCTGTTCTCTACTGAAATTCTCCTTCTTGTCTTCTAGTTTCCAACATGTTAATCAAAATTATTTTAAGTTGCATGCCTCATAACTCCATATCTGAGCTTTTTAAATCATTAAATTCTAGACATTGTGTTTAAAATATTATAGAAGTTCTGGTTGCTTTTCCCCAGTGGCAAGGTTGACTTTTGCTTTTGTCCTGCAGCTCAAATGGGTCAGATCACCAATCCAGTCAGGGGTTGAGCTAACTTTGATCTGGGCATCAGAATTTATAAGGCCTATTTATTGTCAACGCTTTCTTTTGGGGAGTAGCCTTCAGGGGCTCCAGCTGAAAACACAGGGTATTTCCCGGAGCTCCTTCCTCCCCTTTAGCAGGGCCTGTTTTCCCACCAATGAGACCACCAGAAAGTGCTGCTTGATTTTGTCAGCTTTTTACTGATCACTTTCTAACCGGTGTCATACAATCAACCCTGTACTGGTTTTGAATGGGCAAAACCCTGAAGGGGGAAAAATGTTGCTGAATAACTCATTTCTCTGTTTCCCTGGGTGCCTTGCTAGGCCCAAATTCCAATTTTTATCTCCCTAGCTATGTGAAACTGCTAAAAATTCAACTTGGCTTCAGTCCCCCTTAACCACCACATATGCTCTGCTTCTCAGGTCCTCTTTTGATGCCAATTATTAGTCCACAAATGCCTTGAGGGGAAAAGAGATGTGGAAGGTTGGGTTCCCCTCATCGTGTTTCCCTGCTTTTCTGGTCTTGGCCTCTTGAGTCCCGACTGCTCTGATAGCTCTCCTGTTCCCTAAAACAGTAGTGTCAAAAAACCACTCACTTTTCTAGTTGCCGTTGGTTGGAGAGTTGGTAAGATACAAGCTCATAGCCAGAAGCAGAAGTCCTTGAATATTTTTTATTTGCATATTGATTAAAAATGCTCTTTATGCATTCAGAACATCAATTCTTAATTTGAAGTATGTGTTTTTTTATTTTCTATTTTGTTAAATCTTCTTTTTGATTTATAGACATATTTCCTATGTCTGTCATCAAATCTATTAGTCTTTTCCTTCCATTAATGCTTTAAAAAAATTCTTCCTTACTTTCCCCAGACATTTTTCTATTTTTTCCTTTGTTTTATTTTGATTAAAATCTAATTTTTAAATTTATCTAAACTTTAACTTTGGTGCATAGAATTTTAGGGAACTAACTTATTTAAAAATTATTTAACTATTTGTTGAATAAAACATTTTTCTCTACTGCTTTGGAATGTCACCTTTTTCATATAGGAAATCATTGTTTATACTCTGGTTTGTTTCTGAGCTCTCATTAATCTGATTATTATTGCACTTGTAATTTACTGTTTCAGTTGTTCAACTTTAGTCATCCATTTTACTACCTGGTGATTCACGTACCATCTCAATACTTTTCATTTGTCAGTTTTGTCTTGGCTGTTCATGTCAAGAATTCCTTGCCTACAGTGTCAGAAGTGATTTTGATCTAAACTGGTAACAGTGGGGATACAGAGCAAGAACAGAATGAGTGATAGTGAGTATAGGGCTTGAGGGATTTGGAGGCCAGAAATAGCCTCTCCCATGGTGTAGCCTTCTGGCTTGGGAAACTGGTAGAATGGTAGTGTCATTAACTAAGATTGGTAATATAAGAGAATCAAATTGTAATAGAAACCGAGGGTCATCTGTTGAAAGAACAGAAGCAGGGGTGGCATAGATAACTCTAAGATATTGGTGATGTTTCAAAAAGGCTTTATTGGTTAGTAGGATAGAAAGTTGGTTTGGGAAAATTAAAAAGCAAAAATAAAAACAAAAAAAGCAAGTGAAGTCTAGCTTGAATAGGTGTGAAATGAAATTGGTTGTGGCACCAGTTCTAAAAGATGTATGATTTTTAAGTCCACAGCAGCCTTTTTTATATGTTTTACAATGTGAGATATGCTATTAGGCTGTAAACAATATTTGCAGCCAATTGAAGAGCCTGAGCTTAGGAGTGCAGGAGGCAGACTGATCAAGTTTGGGAGATTTTGGGGACAAAATAGTTGCAAGTGAGGAAGTAGAAGCTACTAGTGAAAAACCATAAATTCTAGTTTTGTAAAGAAAGAAATGAAGCCAAGTAGATTACTGCAAATGTTAAATATGATTATAAAAGCTGAAAGAGTTTTGTAAGCTCTATATCAAAATAAGGCTGTGTTTTTATTGCTTGGTCATTTATGTCAAGGATATGGTGGAGCTGGGGTGAGCCCTGACCCCCTCTGTTTAGCTATACTCTCTGTAGCCTGAAGCTGTAACAGTTTCTCAACAGAGAGCCAAGAGTCCAATTTATAAGGAGAATGTGCAGCTTCTTAGCATCATTCACCTGTATCTATACTAACTAGTCTTCCTTTACTCATCCTTAAAGAGACTTAGAAAATTTTCTGTCAACTTGAGGGATGCCTGAGTGGCTCAGTTGGTTAAGTGTCTGCCTTCTGCTCAGGTCCTGACCCGCATGGGATCCTCATGGAGGCTCCTTGCTCAGTGGGGAGGAGCCTGCTTCTCCCTCTGCCTGGCGCTCCCCCTGCTTGTGCTCTCAATCTCTGACAAATAAATAAATTAAATCTTAAAAAAGAAAAGAAAAGAAAATATCAACTTGAGTTGTATATACTAGGTCTAAAACATTGTTTCAGGTACATACAAAGAATAGGGAGGGAGGAAATTTTTAAGAGATCTGTTTCAACAAGACTTCTCTTGCTTCCTTTGACTTTGGGCATTTCCCTCTCCCTAAAATTTGGACCACAGAATCAGAAATGCAGAATTTTAGCTTGGGAAGAAATTGTTTGTTTCATCTGACTCCTTCTACTTTTTTTTTTTCATTTAATAATTGAGCCAAATGAGGAACAGAGAAGATAAGGCTGAAGTCACCTATACATCAAAAGCAGAGTTAAACCCAGGAAACCCAGTTTCCTTACAACACATTTAGATACTTTCACTATACTGTAGTGATTAGAAAATTCATGTTAACTTATAGGATTAATTTACTGTATCACTTTGCATATTGTGCCACTCCCCCGCCCTCCTTTAAGATTCAGCAAAATTTTTAATGTGGAAGAATAAAAAGTGGTTTCGATCCTCTCTCTTTAGAGTATCAGATTTTCTCAAAAGAGCTGACACAGAGCACTTCTGTAACCAAATTTAATATGAAAGCACTGAGAGTATGCAAATAAGACACAAAGCCAAACTTTAGAAATGAGCTAAAGACATAAAGAATTAACAGGGTGCCATTTTTAAGATTAGACTCTAGTCCTGTATTCCTGTTCTTTTCCGTTTCAAAAAGCCGCAAGCAGCCCTAACTCCAAACAGTCTTGCCAGTGTTGTAGATGCACACCTGGACTGGCAGCAGACAGTGAGCTGCTTAACAACTCTCATATTTTTGGGGCATTGTCTGTTCAAACATGCTCATCCGCCTCCCCATCCTGTTCTGCTTCAGTGTCAGAAGGAAATGAAGCCACAATGAGAACAAAAAGAGCTGTCACACCTTTTGTCCTCTGCCTCCTCCTTCCCTCCTCACAGTCCTCCCCACATAGAGCTACTCCACCCTAGTGAGACTCTAGGGTGACATTCTTGCCTGCCTGAAGGAGGAATGACCAGCAGGGACAACAGCTGCAAACAAGTGACAGCCAGAAGGCAGGAGCTTTTATAAGTGCCTGGATTGCACAAGACCCAAGCCAGAGTAATGGCATTGTCGCTGGAAGAATTTGTTCACTCCCTTGACCTCAGGACCCTTCCCAGGGTCCTAGAAGTCCAGTCAGGCATCTATTTTGAAGGTAAGCACCCTCCTATCTCTTGGCTGGCTAGAAAGTGCTTATAAGGTATGCATTCTTGGGAATTGGAGGGGGACATTTTAATAGAAAATATATGAGTCCCACTGAAAGAAAGGTAATCACAAAAGAGGGGAAAGTAATTAACTGACAAATGGTTACAATCCAAGAGTGCTAGAGAGAAGAAACTAGATAGGACTCCAAGGTAGGTAGGGAAAAGGAATTGTGTGAAGCTTTTTGAGGTTTTTTATAGGCCTTCAAACAGTCCCAACATGAATGGTGAATTATTTCTCTCTTTGAAATAGGTTATACTCCAGGAGTGAAAAGTTACTATCCATGTTTATGTTTCTAGAATATAAAAAATAAAATTTAGTGTTTTTTTTCTTTAAACAAAAACAACTATTAAAAACACAGTGTTTAGAAAGAAAAACTAACCCAACTCTTAAACACTTCGCAATGTTGACGCCAACGTTTCTCCCACTTATTCTGTAGTGGCCTAACTCCTCTAATTCCTTAAATAATGACATTCTTATTTGAAGGTATAGGAATTAATATCTACTAATCACAAGATAATTTTTAAGAATCTATGTTGAAAAGTCAGAGTTCAACTAAGATTCTTGAGTAATCTTAGTGTGTTTTGAGGCGACTTACTATGTTAATTCAGTGAAAGAATGTTAAAGCCTACAAAATATACCCTAAAATCTTTAAGGAGTGAGTTTGAATACATGCAAGACAAAGAGTTATTTTCTAGGAAAAAACATATTTCTGGTCACAAGAGTGGTAGAATTAGATCCAGAAGAACTACTGAGAAATTAAGTTAAATAACTGTTGGTAGGCACATCTTTCCTGTTCATAGACAAAATAATATTTTAGATATTATATTATGAAATAAAGGTTGACAAATGTCAGATCTAGTTCATACACACGTACACTCACCTGCTGTCATCATCAGCTTAACATAGGGTTTTGTTTAATTCATTTGTAAATTGATTATATGGAATCAGACTATATTTTTCCATGTACACAATATTATGAAATGTATCTTTGTTCCTAAGCCAGCCCCACATCATTTTTTTTGTTTCATGGTTTGTGCTTTTGAAGCTTTGCATAAGAAGTTACAAAGATATTTTTCTTTATTATTGTATATCAACTTTACAGTTTTATATTTCTCATTTAGTTTTTAATCCACTTGGAAGACACTTTGTGATGCAGTGTAGAGGGATCCAATTTTAGATTTTTCCATATAATAAACCTAATTTCCCAGTACCATTTACTAGGTAGTCATCCTTTCCCGATTGGTTTGTGTTGCTACTTTAAATCATAGTATGTGCTCACATCTGGATTAGTCTGTCTCTGAAATATTTCTTCCATTCCACTGGTCTATTTTTCAGTTGTGCCCAAATCACCCTATGTGTGTAACAATGGTTCCAGGCTAAGTGTTAAAATATATTTCATGGATAGACCAGTTCCTTGTTTTTACTCCTTTTTTCTAAGTTGACTTAGCCTTTCATAGGCCTTTTAATTATGTTTTCAAAGAAGTTAATTTGTTACTTAAGAAATCCTACTACGATTTGCATCAGATTGTATTGAGTTTATAGATTAACTTGAGAAAAATTGACATTTTTATGTTAAGTCTTACAAAAGAAGATAGCTTGTCTCTCCATGTGTTCTGACCATCTTCATTCTTTAATACTTTACTACTGTGTTATACTTCAATTAAGAGAAAAGAATGTTCAGTTTGATGAGTTTTCACAAAGTAAACACATTTATATAACCAACACTCAAGTCAAGAAATAGAAAATTGCAAATATTCTGAAAGCCCCAGTTTGTGCCTTTTCTCAATCATTATCCACCATCTTCCCCAAAGGTAACAATTATCTTGACTTTTGTCCATTTATGAACTTTACATAAATAAAAAATTATAGTATGTATTCTTTTTTGGTTGGCATATATGTTCAACATTATCTTTGTAAAAATCAATCCATAATGTTCTATATAGCTTGTTCATTTCAGTGTGTATTTCAATATTCTCTTGGTTAACTATACCACAATTTATTTATCCATTCTATTGCTAATGGGCATTTGGATTATTTCCAGTTTGGAGCTGTTACCAGTAACGTTGTCATGAACATTCTTGTATAAGTGTGTTCATATGTCTCTACATATGTGTTCACATGTCTATGCATTTAGTTGGCTATATAAATAAGTGGAATTGCCATGTCATATGGTATGTGTATGTTCAGCCTTGATAGATAATGTAAAACAAGTTTTCAAAGTAGTTATACTAATTTGCATTCCCACCAGCAGTGTATGTATGGGAGTCCCAATTAATCCATATCTTTGGCAATACTTGATGTTATCAGTCTTCATAATTGCAGTTATTCTGGTAAGAGTATAATGGTAGCTCATGGTTTGAGTTTGCATCTCCCTGGTGACTAATGAGATTGGTCACCTTTTCATATGTTTCTTGACCTTTTGGAAATGTTTTTTTTTTTTTTAAGGATTTTGTTTTTTATGTAAGCTCCACAGTCAGTGTGGGGCTCAAACTCACAAATCCGAGATCAAGAGTTGCAAGCTCCACTTACTGAGCCATGTGCCCCCAGAAATGCTGTTTTATGAAGAGAGCATTCATGTTTCTTGCTCATTTCTTTATTGGATTTTACAACTTCTTATTATTGATACAAACACACACACACACACACACACACACACACGTATGTATATATGTATATATATATAGGGGGTCCTGACCTTCTTGTCAGTTACTTGTGTTGCAAATGTCCTCTCTTAGTCTATAGATTGACACTTCATTTTTTAAATGGCAGCTTTTGATGAATGGAAGTTTTTAATTTTAGTATTAGTATAGTCATTTTATAATTATTTTCCTTTTTGTGTGTTGTCAGAGATTTTCTTTACCTTAAGTTCATGAAGATATTGTCTTAGCATCTATTCCATTGCTTACTCCCTCCTTTAGATCTAGAATTGATTTTTTTTGTATATGATTTGAGGTTGAGATCAGTGTTTATTTTTTCCTTTATAGAGCCAATTGGTGCAGTGACTTTGATTGAAAAACTGCCTTTTTCCTACTGCCTTACTGTGCTACATGAGTCATAAGCAGTGTCCATACATGTGTGGGACTCTTTCCATAGCTTCTATTCTGTCCCATTCAACTAATTGCTATCCTTACATTAATTTCATGCTATCTTAATTAATGCAGGTTTGGAACAATACATAATTTATATTATATTATATATGATAATATGCTGCAAAAGCTGTGGTTCTCAAACTTGGATGCACATGAAACACCTGGAAAATATAAAAAATATCGATGCTGGATCTCTCCTCAAAGATAAGGATTTAATTATATAAGAAATAAGGTATCACCATCAGGTTTTGAAAGATATTCCTGATGATTATAATAGGCAGCCAAATTTGAGAATTATACTGTAGAGTAAGTTCTTCCAGTTTATTATTCTCCTTCAAGTTGGGCAGTTTGAATTTTCATATACATTTTAGAATTAACTTATAAACTTTCGCAAAATCTTCTTGGCATTTTGCTTAGCGATGCCTTGGTTTAGAGAGAATTGGCATCATTTTAAATTATGTCTTCTGACCCATAAACCTAGTACAGCTATCTAGTTATATAGATCTCTTCATTTTCTAGCTTTTGTTTGTGGAGTTCTTGTACTTCCTTTTATTCTTAATTTGATTTTTTCATTCCATTTTAAATAATATCTTTTGAAACTTTCATTTTCTCTTTGTTATGTTTGTTGAATTCTAAAAATAATATCCTTAGATTATTTTGGATTTGTTATGTACACATTTATGTATTATATGAATATTGATGGATCTCATTTCTTCCTTCCAATTATTGTATTTTTTTTCCTCAGTTAAGGAACTGACTAGTGCTTCTACTGTAATACTGAATAGGAGTAATGATTAAAAAAACCCTCCCTATCTCATTCACAACCACAGAGAGATTTCAATAATTCATCTTGAAGTATGTTTTAAGTTAAATAAGTTTCTAGTTTTCTGATAATTTTTAAAAATCATGAATGTATGTTTAATTTAACACACATTCTTTCAATGACTTTTGTGATGATTATATGTTTTTTATATTGATTGATTTTTAAAATGTTGAATAAGCCTTTTCCCTGTGGAATAAAACCAATCTGGTCCTATAACACTAAATTTGGTTTACTAATTTTTTTCTTTTAGGATTTTTGTATCTCTTTTAGAGAATTAAATCAGCTTACAATGTTTATTTCTTGTAATATCTTAGCCATGTTTTTGTACTGAGTTATGTTGAACTTAATAGAATTTCTTGGATAGTCTTTTTCTAGTCTTCTAAAAATATGCAAATTTAGTGTTTCTTCTCATTTAAATATTTAGGAGACTTCCAAATGAAGCGATTCTGAGCTGGGATTTCTAATATAGAGATCTTTTAATTATGACTTCAGATTTTTAAATAATAAGGTCTTCGTATCTATGAGCATAGTTTCTCTCATTAAAACAAAAACAAAAAACCCATCTAGATAAGGTATTAGAGTCCAATAAAATGTCTTCTAGACTAGTTCCTAGAATGCACACACATAAACATGTATATATGTATTGCTATATTGACTGATGATCATATTTCTTCTGTTTTCTCATTGACTATCACTGACATAAAGGAATCAAGTAAATTATCAATAGTACTGATGAACTCTCTTATTAATTCTAATAGTTTATCTTTTTTATTTCATTGGTTTTCCTAAAATCCTATAGATATTGATATCATTAGAAAGTATCAAGAGATACATCCCTTTCCTACTATGTTTTACAAAATTTTCTTCCCCCTCACCTTTATAGTGTAGTCCAGGGCCTCCAGTACTATAGAAGCAATAATGGAAATCCTTGTCTAATTCCTAATCATAAAGGAAATACATCAAAAATTCTTTCTTTAAGCGTTAGGTTCTGAAATTGGTATTTAACCTTCACTAAATTAAGGAAGTTTTCATCTATTC